TGTTTGGCCCGATACCCGTATCCAGCCCCGGGCCTGCTTCACGTACATTCGCACAGGCGGCCCAGGGCCTGGGTTCATTCAACCAACTGGCGCTGGGCAACTGCCTGAATTTCCCTGAGTTGCGTGGTGGCCAGAAAAGGGCCCTGAGGGCCTCGTCGAGCCTGCCTTCACTTAGGGCGGCCGACGTGCTGCAAAAATAGGGGCCTTCTGGGGCTCTTAGAGGCCGTGGCCTCGCACATGGGATCCCTGCTATTTTTCTGCAGGGGAGCCCTTGGAAAAGAGACTAGATCCAATGAGCAGTACGATGTGGCCCCAATTACTTTCTTTTCTGTGCACTTACAATTTCCAAAAGGGATGCACACATTTGGTTACCACAGCCTGCCCTTTTGATTTTTTTTAATTTTAAGTCGTAATTGTGTTGCATCACGTACGCTAACACGTGTGCGCGTGCGCTATGCAGCGCACGTGCGGAAATTGCGCGTACGTGATGCGCCGCATGTATGATTCAGCCATATCTGGGAATTATTATACTTTGTAGTTTGCAATTTTTTTTTTTTTTTTTTTTTTTTTAAACAGGTCCTTATGGCCCTGGCGCCATTTCTATTCTGGGGAGCATCACTCTGATACCTATTCCACCAGCAAGTCAGGAAAAATAAATACAGCATAGAACACCCTCATGCTTCCTTCGGTGAGGCCGAAGGAACCCTGATCAGCATTTGATTACTCCAACATCGTGGAGCATTGACTGTCAGTATGCCCTGCTTCCACCTTTCCTCTCGGGACTACTATAAGCACCTGTCAGATAAAACATGAATAGCAAGAAAGGTCCGAGAAGGTACAAGTGCTGCCAATTCTGTCTAAACCCTAAACCCCGCATATGAGCCTCATGAAATCCCTTAGCATTCTAACCCCTGCTTGTCTTGTTTCTGTCAAAACCCGCACCCTAAACCCTAAACAAGAATAATATATTGTTTCCATCTGTTCCATGTGAAACATCGGCTGCCGCCTGTCGTGCATGTACCTTGGATGCTTTTCTAGGCCCAGATTGGAGATGGTTCCTCATGTACCTGGGTATTCTGCTGGCCTACAGACTTGACAGAATTGTGCCACTCTTTCCATCTTAAAACGTGCCCATTTAGCCATTTCATATCACCTACCAACCAGACCCTCTTGAATTTGGCAAGCGTCACCTGTTCTGTCTCTGGACTGTTCTGCACCCAGAGTTTAACCTTCCTACAATGACAGAGGATTTCCGCTTCAATCATCTCTTTGGTTGCCGCCCACACTTTCTCCCGTGGGTTCTTCGTGCAATCCAGTGTTCTGCTACGTCTCTCCTTCCATATGGCCCATAGTGTGACCTTGCGCACCATCCTGAACCAAATTTTCTCTTGATTTGCCGAAGTTAGAGGGTAAATTAGTCCAGAGGAGCAGTTAAAGGGCTTGGGAACAGGCATGTCTCTATGCTCCAGGATATCGTTGACATCCACGTGGCCATCCATGGTTGGGGGAAGCATAAATCCTCGTGATGGGAACTGTTCTATCTCAGCGAAAGGAGCGAGCTTTGAGGCATGGAAAACAGGGTAAGTGTGTAAGTGACCAGGGATACGATTGACGTACGAGGGACCATCCATCTCACTACCCACAATGTCCAGGAGTTCCCAGGGACCGAAGTACTGAGTCATTAGTTTCCTAGAGATGCCGAACTCCTGTCCCAGTTCACTAGCCTTAACCCAGACACGTTCCTCTACCTGAAATGTGGAGACTAGCTTGTTCTCATAAGCAATCATTGCTTCCTGAGACTTCTTGATGTTCTCGACAGCTTGCTGCAGCAACTTCTCGTACTGGACACCAAATTCAATGGTTCCAGGAGTTGCAGCAGGTTGGTTTTCAGGAAGGAGGAAGTCTGGTGCAGATCTAGGCTTCCACCCCAGATGCAGCTGATTCGGGGTGACCCCTGTGGTGCTGTGTACAACGTTATTGTACAGACTGGCGATGAGAGGTAACTTCTCATCCCAGTCATCTTGGCTGGGCTTAATATAATGCTTCAGCAGATGCTGCACCACCCGGTTCATTTCTTCAGCCTGCCCATTGCCTTCGGGATAATTCCCAGAACTCGTTTGGAGTTGGCTGCCCATGTGTTCAGCGTCCTTCTTCAACATCTCACTTGTGAAATGCACATCTCTATCACTAACGGTTGTCTTTGGCAGCCCAAAGTCACGCACCCAGTTATCCATGAATAACTTGATGACGTGTTCAGTCGTGGCAGTCTCCGACACGGCAATTAGTCGAGCAAACTTAGTGAACCTATCAACTATGACGAAGATGTGCCTCTTCCCATTCATGCTGGTCACGAGAGTATCCATGAAGTCCATGGAGATACTCTGTCCCGGGCCAGCAGGAATGGGTAGAGGCTTGAGTAACCCAAGCGGAGCTTGAGTTCGCGGCTTGTTCCGCTGACAGACCTGGCAGGTCTGTACGTACTTCTTTGCATCGTCCAACATGTTAGGCCACCTGAATCGTTGTACTAAATTAGCATTGGTCTTCTTATAGCCGAAATGTCCCGTTGCGTCGTGACAATCACCTAAGAATAAACTACGCCAAATTTCTCTAGATGGAACAACTAGCCGTTTAAACCCTGCCTTCTCAAGAAAGAGTAATCCATCCACCATCACAAACTCGTCAGTGGTGGCCTTGTCTTTGGCCTCCTGTTTGTTGATGATGTCCATCGTGATGGGGTCTTCCTTGTAGGCTTTCCCCAAGGATCGAGTAACGTCCTCGGAAAGGCTCAGCGCACCTAGGTAATCTGCCCTGCGAGACAATGCATCTGCAACCTTGTTGTACTCTCCACATTCACATAGTCTAGTTTATAGTCATAATGATGCGTTTGAGTGCATTGTAGAGAACTGGTTGTGTCTTGATCCAATTGAGAGTATGATGGTCAGTTCTCAAATAGAAGAACCTTCCTAACAGATGGTGCCTCCAATGGACAAGTGCCTTGTAGAGGGCGTAGAGTTCCCTTTCGTAGGTGGACTTTGCCAACTTCTTTGATGACATCTTTTTGCTCGTATACTCGACCAGTCTCAACTTTTTCCCTTCCTGTTGGGCCAGCACTGCGCCAATGCCGTATTGGCTTGTGTCAGTAGTTACAACAAACGGCCTTTGCGGGTCGGGTACCATGAGAACCTCATGATGCGTGAGAGCATGTTTCAAACGCTTGAAAGTCGCCTCACACTTGTCGGTCTAGTCCCATGGAGTATCAAGTCAAGTTAGATCAGTCAAGGGAGATGCGATCGTACTACAATTCTTCATGAAGTTGCAGTAACAACCACACATTCCCAAGAATTATCTGACCTCAGTCACAGGCTGGGTTGTGGCGAGTCACGTATGCTAGCCACCTTCGCATCTTCGGGCCTAATCCCATCCACAGAGACTTCATGACCTAAGTACAATATTCTAGTGCGACCGAACTCACATTTTTCTACGTTTATCTTATACTTGTGATGTCGAAGGAGTGAGCGTACCTTGTCTACATGATGTGCATGCTCCTCGACAGTCTTACTAAAGATAAGTATGGCATCGAGGTACACAACGACAAACTAAGTAGTCATGGAAAATCCTATTCATGGCGTGCTGGAATGTTCCCGACGCATTGCAAAGGCCGAAAGGCATCACCACAAACTCGTACAGACCGTACCTGGTCTGGAATGCGGTTTTGTGCTATCCTCTGGTCTTATAGCAATTTTATGGTAGCCGGTTTTTAAGTCTATCTTTGTATAGTACCTACATCCCTGGACCCTATCCAATAGGTTGCGATGCGTGGTAGAGGCTCTGCGTTCTTAACAGTGATGGCATTGAGACCTCTATAATCAATGCACATCCTTAGTGTCCCCCCTTTCTTTGGAACAAAAAGTACAGGTGAGCCAAAGGGGGAGGTGCTAGGTCGTATCCAACCCTTCTCTGTGAGCTCTTTCAGTTGTCGTCGAAGCTCGTCCAACTCGGTCGGAGCCATCCTATAGATTCTCCCTTTAGGTGTCTCGCTACCTTGGATGATCTCTATGGCATGGACAACCTCCCTGTCTACGACTCCTGTAGGCTCCTTGAACAGATCAGGGTACTTAGCGACGATGTTTTCTATCTCTGTTTTTTTTTAACGGCCTCCCCTTTCTCAGAGACATAGACTAGGTACATACCTTCCTCTTGGTTTTGTTTGTAATAGTTATAGAACGCAGGTGCGCATAAGCACCCATAGGAGTCAATCAACCTACTAGCTTTGTACTTAGCTAGTCTAACAGTCCTCCCACCAGGCAACTCCTGCTTTAGCACCTTCTTGTCCCAGGCAAACTAGGGTTTGGCAACCTCAAGGTAGTACATTCCTAACAACATATTGAAAGGCAAATCGTCGCTCACCAAGAATGATATCCGATGATTAAGTTCTCCTCCTAGGTAGGAGAAAGTGCATACCACATCCTTTACGTAGTCCTCCACCATCATGCACTTTTTGTTGGCCAAAGTAGATGCTACCGGTCTACTAAGGCGTTGCACCTGTTCTTTAGGCGCAGCCTGTCAACGCCGTCATGACTTGTGAAGTTTCGCGTGGAGCAGATGTCTACGAAGGCACTGCACTTGCGGCCACCCACACCAAGTTCCACAATGAAATGTTCCCCTCTAGGGCCTCTACTTAGTGCCACCCAGGACTCACGAGGGTCCCTTGGCGACCACTCACCTTGAAGGTCCTCTAAGGCTTCAGACACATCCAACGTATAGAGTATAGTTGGGTCCGGATGCGTTTGTGAGGTGGCTCAGGAGTCAATAGCTTCGGCCAACTCTTCAAACGGGGAGGGTTCATCACCCGCTCCAACGAGAGTAGAAGCAGCTACAACTTCTACTAGCCCTAAGTGTTTTCTGAGCTGGAGCTCGTAGATGCCCTAGACTAAGAAAAAGGATACCCACCCTTAGGCGAGATCTTCTGCGGAACCTTACCGTTCTTGCATTTGAACTGCTGATGGCCATACTCGTCGCAGTTTATGCAAGCCCCACGTTGCCAAAGGTCTCGCCACACATCTTGATCCAAACCGGCTCTAACCCAAGCAGCTATTTTGTTTGGGTTGGTGGCTTGCCCCTAACACCTCTGTTGACCGCCTTGTCGCGGTCGCCTGCATTTGTCTTAACTTCTGCGGTGAGGTTGCTACCCTCAACACTATCCTCGCCGTCTAACTCTGAACTCTCCACAAGCTTAGAAACATCATCGATCTCAGTTTGATTCCCTTGGGAATCAACCATCATTAATCGACTACCCTTTTTCTTCCACTTTTGTGGAACCTTCTTCTTTCTCTCGTCCGTAGGGGAGGTTTGAGCACCACCAAGCGTAGACTCTAAGTCTAGGGCCTTTTTGTTGAATGTCTCAAACGTGTGATACTCTAAACGAGCCTCGTTGGCTAACAAGTTCTTGATGTATGTGGAAGACACCTCAAGAACATGGTCAACAAGACCTGTGGATTGTACTCCACGCCTGGGACGACAATCAAACACTCTACGGTCGTGGTGAGCTCGCGCACAGACTTGTACTTTCTAGCATCAAGTTTCAGTAACCCATCAGTGGCTATTTGTGCCTGCTGAAGGTTGTGCCACCGCGCCTTTACCAAATCCATAAAGCTCTCTAGGGATCCCAGGGTCACTGATGGGTTACTGAAACTTGATGCTAGAAAGTACAAGTTGAGTTTGCAGTAGTTGCTAAATACGCAGTCATTGCTACCGCGCTAGCTGCTGCTGCCGCCAACGCCCGTTCTACGGCTGCTGCTGCTTCTCTCTCCGTCTCTAGATTACGGGCCCTTGCTTCGGCCCTTTGTCTCCTTTCGTCTCCTGGTAGTAGAAATTGGAACACAATGGGTATCCTACCTGTCCCGTTGTGTCTGCCTCCTATCATCAGTTGTACCTTCACCACCCTCTGATCCGCTCATCAGCTAGGCAGACGCTGTTTGCACTAGTGTCCTCCCTGGACCTACAGTAGCATGCGTCTGACCGGTTCTACAAATAAATAAAATAAATTAGATGTCCGACGAGTTACCGAGAAAAGGTTAACCGACCCCCCATTTTTCGCCTCAATTTGTAAGAAAACCATAAGGCCATTTTAAACAAACTTCATACCGATGTATAGAGTGCACTTCTTACTAACATATTATAAAAACAAAACAAAAAAACAAAAATTAAAAACATATGAAATAGCAAGCCAAAAGTGCATTTTCATGACATTTTGGCAAAAAAACCGTCATCAAATTTTCACAATTTTCACCACTCTTCACAATACAAATTCTAATACTCCAAATGACATCAAATTTGACACACAGAAAGCTTGTCCAAATAAAAAACAGGCAAAAAGAAAAATTCCAAAAAAACACAAAAAAACCTAAATTCAGGATCATTCAGGATCATCCATCGTTACCTAGGGCCGAAAAGTGGGGGTCCCTATTAACCGCTTGTGTACCGGTTAGACGGCCTCAACAGTATTCTACACAGACCATACACATAGTTTACTCCTATCCTGATTAGTTCTCTTAGAGAAGCTTTGAGAAGAACTGACTATGGTAGATTACTGTCCTACTCTAGGCTGTCTGTTAGGTGTCAACAGTCTGTCAACCAACTAATCAAAATAAAAATAAACTAATGTGAGCAGATGTATGCACAATGGGTATGATAGTGCGTTACAGTTGAGTCCTCAATTGGAAACCCCTTCCCCTGTATCCAACGTGCTTGTGAGCATCATCAAGCGGCGGTGTCTAAGGTGTGCGTTATTGGCCCACCCCTGTGCCCAAGGCGTATGCTTATGACCAGCCTGCCCGTTATTTACCCTCACATTGTCGATCGGTAGGAGTCTGATGGCCAGCGGATCTAACCCTATGTCCACCCCACGTCTGTCACACGCGGGAGGGCTATTTCCGGGCTCCTGCAACCTGCAAAATCTACCACTTAGTCAGATATATAAAACAAGGTGTGCGCTGAACGGCCCACTAAAATGTAGAAAGAAAGAGAAAATCGATCGATAGGCGCAAACGCGCTACATCCTGACCCGGTGCAACCTCCCTCACGCTCGTCCAAGGGATTAGTTTTGTGTTGAGACTGATCGTGTTAGTGTTCGTCGCTGGGTCTCGCGACCAATGGGGTGTTGTCGGTACCGCTCCCGTCAGCCCCAAGGGATCATGCTAGTGCTCTCCGAGTCCGAAGTGGCATCTCGGGCCCATTGAGGCATTATTCTCGATCTGAGTCCAGGGTCCGAACCGGAGGCCCACTCGACTGTAGGAAGAGAGGATGCCTGGGCTCACTCGAGTGGCATCTGGCCCTGTCCTTGGTCTTGGTCTTGTCTAGTCTGGTCTGGGCTGGTCTGATCTGGTCTGGCCCCGTCCGATCTGGCTTTGATCTGATCTGGTCTGGTCCGGTCTGATCTGGCCAGGTCCTGGCCTGGTCCGAATCTGGTCTGGACTGGTCTGGTCCGGACTGGTCAGGCTTGGTCCGGACCTAGTCTGGTCCGATGAATGCACGGGGCCGGTGTCGGAGGGTGCGACATTCCGTCCCTCCTCTGTGTACCAAGTCCCTGCTTGGTACCAGTTCTCCACCCCGATGTTTTGGCCTGTAGATGCGTTCTGGGCCTCCATCGTTTTTAGTTCCCAGGTTGCGCCTCGGTGCGGACCAATCCTGGTAGCGGAGCCCTCGACAAAAGGTGTGCGCCACATGACTTCCATGGGTCTGCGCAGGCTCGGCGCCCTGCTGTACAGCAGAGCACAACCGGCCTGTGGTCGTGGTAGCCGTCGGGTTCGCCCTGGGACGCGAAAGCGAAGGGGCTGGCGCAGTCTTTTCTACTGTGCGTCGAGTGCCCTGTGGCCAAGTTATGGGTTAGGTGCGTGGAACAAAAATATAGAAAACAAAGAAAAGAAGGTAGAAAACCTGATCAGCACGTGGATCAAGACCGTTGCTTTAGTCCAGAATGATTCAGCAACGATCGTCTACTGCATCGTTTGAGTTTTCCTTTTTCTCTTGTTATTACTGTTACTATTATTTCTATTATTATTTATTCACCGATTTTCAGATGTGATTTCCCCTGTTGTCGGGACCCTGTCACTTCGGGGGGGGGGGGCAGCGGTCTTGTTTGCAGGACGTGGTCACTGTTAGTTTAGACTGAGCCTGCATGGGGTTGAAAGGACCGTTTGGTCCTAATGGTCGTGATCTGGGCCAGGTACAGGGATAGTAGCTGAGTTCAGGGGTAGATACGGTAATGTCTGGGAAAAGAGGGAGTAAGGAAAAGAAAGGAAGAAGGAATGGCCTCTTTGTGCGAGGACATGCTCCAGTATTCGGACGGATCCGCTGCACCGATGAACCCTGAATCGCCTTGTTATTATTATCATTATTGTTATTATTGCGCAGGAAAACTAACGGTTCGAATTCGAACCCGTCTAATTTAGTGGCCAGGTGGATCGACTTTTCGCTACTATTCCTGGCTTTCCGTTGCTCGTCCGCAACTGTCACACTTGGCAAAGCGCCGCGCGCCAGGGCCCCAGAAAAAAAAGGGCGACCCGCGGCCACATTGGTAGGAAGCGTATCACCTCCCATAGAGGGGTCATACGCCCCCTCCTTTCCATCGGACACGGGCACCCAACGGAGATAGCACAATGCTCTCTTTTAGGGTGAAAGCCTGGGATCCCGTTATGGGACCGCGGTGCCAGACCTGCTGTTTTATCGCGAGGGTCTGACACTGACAAGTGCAGGGCTGGTTCATGATAGACCGATGAGTTTCAGGTTCAAGTGTTACTTTTTTTGAAAATCATTTAGTTTCTCTTGTTGTTTATCATCCTATATTATTTATTGCCTTATTCTAAAATTCTTGAATCCGGTAAAGTTCGAAAGGGACTAACCGGAATACCTCATTCAGAACGTAGGGAGGTAAGCCTATAAGAGGAAGAGGGAGGCGGGATATTGTCTGCGGCCGGCAGCCTGGTAGTACGCAGTTCGTACCGTGGGCTCTGGTGGAGAGAGGCGTGCTGTTTGAAGTTGATGGCTTTGTGCTGCGCTGTTTACCGAACGGGTGCTGGCTATTGAGGAAGAGCGGCCATGGCTTTGCACGGGTATAGACCCTGCTATTGGTACCACCAGATTCGATGGAAGCCTATGTCCGGGGAGGGGCCCTGAATTACGGCTATACTCAACTACGACGGGGGAGATGAGCTAAGACTGAGGATCAACGTGGAGGGAGGAAAAGAGGAGGAGATGCGGACTGATGGAAGGCTACAGGACGCTATCACAAAGACGAAAGATCGTGTGGAGAGGCGCTGCAGAAGGGATGGTGTGACGGCGAAAATGCAGGTAACGGTCTCATATCATGAGATCGAGACTTCGATGGACACGGCGGACTGGGAGCAGGCCCACCTGGACCGGGACTCAGGTGGGGAGAGCGAGATGAGCGAAGCAGAGGACCGGGAGACGGACCTCAGGTCCTGGATCAGACCAGGCGAGATCGAGAGGCACCACCGAGCCGCGAAACCGGTGGAAGAGGGGACCTGAGGCCAGCTCACGACAGCTGACGCCCAGAGGCCGCGGGGCGGGAGAAAAACAGAGCAAAGGGAAGAAACGTGTGTGAGGCGTGCGCAGGGACACACGCGTGGCGAGAGGGTCAACAACGAGAGAGGAGAAAACTGAACGCGTGTGCTGGGATGTTGACGTCAACTGGAATGCAGTGAGTGACAAGCTGCAAAGAGAGGACATGCAGCGAGTCAGAGAGAGCAAGCGCGGCGATTGAGTCGATAGGTGGTTATGTGCGGGCGTGGACTGCACGTAGCAAGGCCTGGTGTGTGAGAGGAGAGCCAGCGAAAAGGGAGACGGTGTGAGTAAGGTGGGATGCTAGTTCACAGAGGGTATTCGACATCAACCACCGCTCGCACGTTCGTGTGGCATGCTCGCACCTGCAGTAATGATGAAAAGATGAGGAAAGAGGGGAACCCGCAGGGACAACGAGAGAAGTAACCATCTAGAGATGCTAGTTTGCAAAGCGCGTTGTAAGTTGCTACTCGAATTGCTTTGCCGCGCACTGACCACGGTCCGTCTCTGTTTGGGACTTGGATCAGCAGCTTTTCCACTGCTTGGGCTGTAATTACCCGTTAATTAGTACGTGGTTTGTGAGAGGGGAAGAGAGTGTGAGCGGAACGGAACTTGAAATGGGGAGGTAAGTGCAGTTGCACGGGAACACGCACGACAGGTGGCGTGTCCTGTAAGGAGGCAGTCGGTGGTAGGTATAAGAGAGAGGGTGGGCAGTACACTCGACTCCTGCGTGGTAGCCTGATAGAGCGTGACTAGA